AGCTCAGCTGGTGTTTCTTCCTGTTCGTGGGATTGAATCCGCGTGCACGTTGGGCCGCTTTTCTTTCTGAGATTCTGGGAAAAAGACCTCATGTCTGCCCGCCTTTCTAGGACTACCATGATGAACCGGGAGTCTAAGCTGAAGCTGCTGCTGATGCTTTTGGCAACCTTGCTCACCTGGCTCGCTATGTGCGCAGCATTCCTGACACAGCGCCAAGACAACATCGTTGCGCTAGGGTGCCTTGGATCGCTGCTGGTTGTGGTCGGGTTTTGGCTGAGAAGGGCTTGGAGCAAGGGGTTGTGTGGGGTAGTGGTGCAGTGGGCGCTGAGATCTTAAGGCAGATTGGCACTTGGTGCTATGTGCATCTCTGTGCTTTCTGGCCTCATGAGCCGCAATCAAACCCGATTCGGGTAGGGGACAACCCCAGCCATAAATAGCTGCGGATATCCGCCTTCTTCACTGTTTACATGGTTCTAATCGACCATTCTAAACCCGGGTTGTGTTTATAATGGGGCGAGGCCGGGCAAGGCCTCGGCGGCAGCCTATTTCAGATTCTCCCAGCCCAGCTGTCCAACCAGAGAAGCAAAGCAGACGTTGGGCTCTCAGGTTCAGGGTTCTTGAGCCAAACACCTCGAGAGGTGCTAGCCAATTTGTGTTTTTTCCCTAGGTTTTCCAAGAATGCATTTTTTTGGAGGGTTAGTCCACTAAAATAGACTACAGAAAAAAAGAAACGGTACCCTTATTCATAGACTAAACTGAAAAAAATCGGGTACCCTTATTCTAAGCTCTCTACTGGAGGACCTAGTTCCAACACGGGGATTCTCGGAGTCTATTGAAAAACGAGCTTCATCTACGTGCCGAGGTACCTTTGGCTGGGACTGGTGTCTACCAGCTCGGTGAGCAATGCCACCCTGCAGCGGGCCTGAGTGAACTGTGGGTCCAGTTTTGAGAAGTCCGAAGTATGTCTTCGAAACACCTGGAGGTCCCAAACACATGAAGGATAGCGAAATCCATCGAAACCAGTCCACCAGTTATCATCAACCACTTCATATCGACCTGAATGTCTGCATGTAAATTATTGGGTGGTCGGCCAAGTTAGTAAGTGGTTAGTAACCTGGGGAGTATAACCTTCATGCCAACTCCACTTGGGGGACTTCCAGGCTATACCGATTGTGAGAAGGGCAACCTATCTATCATTTGCATGTAAAAAATGGTTGTCCCCCCCCAAAAAAAAAAACCAGCGGGAACAACGAAACAGCCAGGCCCGAACCATAGGTTCTGCCCCCCCCCCCTCCCAAAGAGAAAAACAGAAAAAAGAAAAGAAGAAGGAAACAACGCCAGGGGAATAAGGAAACCAACAAAACGCAAACCCCCGAGAAAAACCATCCAGGTATATTCAGGTGGTTTCCTTTTAAGGGGGACCCCACGTTTGGGCGGGTTCCTTTGTCTTCTGACAGCTGTTTTGGGGCTGGACCCCGATTAAGCTAGCTTGGATCTCAGGATCTGGGGGGGAGGGCATAGCATCCTATGAACAGGGAATGGGTTGCAATGACCCCGAGACAAAGCCATCCAGCTGTTCTTGTTCTTAACAGGGGGGCAAAAAAAAAAAAAAAAAAACGAACCGGCGGGTGTCCTTCCCACATGCTTCAGCCCGACCGCCGCGTGGCTCCTTTCAACCCGTTCCCCGGTAGCGCACCCGCCGACGCCGAGGTACTCGGACCCGGTGCGGGCGGTGCTGTGGCCCGCCCGCGCCGTGGGCGCCTTCAGCTTCGGGATGGTCCTGGCCTCCGCGGCGCCCCGAATCCCGAAGCGGAACGAAGGGGGATGGAGGGGGAGGAGGGTGGCCGTTTTACGCGTTGTGCTTCTTCTTCTTCTTTTTTTTGGGGGGGGAGGGTTGCCTTTTGTTTTGTTTGGGGGGGGGAGGGTTGCCAACCGTTTTGTTTTTCTTCTTTTCTTTGTTTTTGGAGGGGGGGGGGGTTGCCTATTTGTTTTTTGGGGGTGGGGGGGAGGGTTTGGCCCCCGTGTTAAACCAGGGAGAACCTCGTTTTTTGGGCTTCCCGTTTTTTGTTTTGTTTTTTTTGGTGGCTGCCTGTGAAACGAATGGAGTTGGTGTGAAACAAAATAAGACTCTTTCTTGGGGGGACCTGGTGCCGGCGATGCGTGCTGCCTTGAAATAAGAGGATATACCGTATACCAAAAAGGGCCCCCACTGTTCGCAAACCTGCCAACGGACCCGTGAAACCAATGCGTCCAGGGATTCTCACTCCCTGAGTTCACGGACTTTACACTTTTTGCGTCTGGACCATTTTTTGTAACACAAAGTTTGCTGCGGTAGACTTAGGATGCATGTTACATTTTACCAGTGACTCAAATTGAAGCAAACAATAAAATATACAACCTATATAACTGGACCTAGCTCTAATCATGTTTGGACCTTTCTTTGGCCAATCCACTCAGGACGCGAGATGAAACCATTGTGTCAAAGGCATTTTGACAAAAA